GGGGGGGGGGGTCGCAAGCGAGCGCTGCGCACGTGCTGCCACGCATATTGGACTCGCTCCACTCCAGCCCTACCGCAAATCGCTCAGCGCTGCTACAGGCCTGCCCCTTCGCTAAGCGCAAGTCGCAGCGCAAAACATGAAACAAAACCAGACGACGTTGCAGTAAGGACATGGAAAAAAAAAGATACAAAAAAATTAGGTTAGAAGTCTTTGTGTTTCTGTAATGTATTTAACACAAATTATATTCAATTGGTCAGGGTCAACATTAACGTTACTGTTTTGCATCTTGATGAGAGGAATTAAAAGTAAAATCTCGTTCTGAAGTTCCTTTTTGTCACAAAAAGTTAAGAAACAGACAGTCCAAAGTGACGAGGTACAAAGTAAGGAGGGATGATGGAGGCAAATTGCCGATTTGTTTTCTTGCCGATGCTACAAACCCCTTTTACCATCATTCACTTTTTTCACAGGCGATGCTGGCAGACTGAGCCACTACATCCGGCCTCGAGCTCGTTGCTTCGAAGCCAGGCACCTACAGGGCTTTTTCTCACCTTCAGTAACCTTTGTCAACATCATTTCAATAACCAAACGGAGAGAAAGAATAAAAAGACAAAATCGTTAGTATTGGTTCACAACAACAGCAACAACAATGAGAGAACAAAAATCACAATCTCTCTAGTGCCCTAACAGTTTTAGACTTTTCTATTTAATATGTAAGCAATGTTAACATAACTTGGGGCCCTCAATTGTTTTTTAGCACTATTTAAGGTCATTTAAATTTGGAAGGCGGGGTGCTGGTGTGGCTGCTCCACATGCTGGCAATGCGCAGTCCACTAAAAAGCCTGATCCTGGTTTTACAAATGGAATACAGTAAAAACAGGTTAACTTCACGTCTGAAAGAAAAGCATCAAATTCCTATAAACAGCCAGCGCAATGTAATCCTATCGCTGTATTTCGCGCAAAGGTGGGGTTGCTGGGGGGCAGGGAGTGCGCTTCGGGACGCGCTGCCGTTTGTGGGTGCCGCTCGGTAAAGGTCGAGCCAAGTACATGGCACTTAACGGATTTACCACGCCAATACCCGAAACCAACTTCCCAAGCGGCACTACTGCCACCGCACGTCCGAGAGATGCCGCACGGCGACAAAACAAGAGTTGCGGGGCTTTGTGATCTGCGGCACCCAGGCCCGACAGTGCGCCCCGTTTTAAGGTGAGGGGAGTGCGGGGGGGGGGGGGCGCATTTGTGGCGCGTGCACGTTTGGGATCGGGAAGCAAGGGGCTGGAGGCCGCACCTTTCACACAATCGCAGCGCCAAGATGCATTCGGCCAACCGCCCCACACCATGCTTCCTTCACCCTGTGCGGTTTCGCTTCAGCGCAGCATTAGGTGGCCAGCATCCCAATTATGTGTTATTCCCATTCACAGTCGATGATGCAATCTTTTTTGCAAGTTGGATGAACGATGAGAAGTCAATATTTATTACTGCATACGGCCACCTTATGCTTTTCCTTATCATACTTTGCCAGCATGTCTACACAAGCCAAAGGAGCACAAGTGCCAGATTTCAATGCCGATTACATTTATAATTAGCGCTTATATATGAACATAAGGCCTGCAGCCTTTATATGGCCAAGAGTCAATTGCAAACAAATGTATACAATATATTGCTATATAGCTAAATAATATGTCCTAACATACAGGACTCTTGGGCAAGCCAATTCATTTTAATGTTACATGCGAAAAGGATTAATTTTTGTGACCATCGAAAGGTTTTTCCCCCTTCCAAGTGAACATGTATTATGATACATGGAATCTTTCCAAATTACAAGCATCTCCATGAATGAGACATGTAGGCTATATATTAAAAGTTTTGCTTGACCAAGCAAAACAAATTACTTTAAGTGAAGAAAACACGACATTCACAAGAGTCCACTTGAGAAGTGGTTTTAGTCGAGCGGCTATTTCGTTGTATTGCATCTCACTGCAATATGCCCAGAGTCCTTTTCCTGCCCCAGACAAACGGCATAGAGGATCAGAAGTCCTACCTTCGCCTCTTCTAACCGACCGAGAGCTTTAAGCAGATTTCCCAAGTCACTGCGCACACAGTACAGGTCCTAGGAAACAAAAAAAGGCAGGGATAGAAAGTGCTAATTATTTGTTTTATTCATTACCATAATAATAAATAGACCAAGAGGCGTATGTCTCCTGACACATCAACTGCACAACTATATTTCATAATTTTTAAAACACGTAAATTACTGTCTTGGGAAATATTCTGCCTGGCATTTCACCACAGACAATGGCGGCCAAATGACATAAGCCCTGAGAGGCAGAGTTAAAGACAGGCGAGAGTAAGGCACTGCACTCACTGGATTGTACTGCAAGGCAGTCACGTAGGCCTGCACTGCGCCCTCCAAGTCCCCGGCAGCCACCAGCGCTGCCGCCAAGTTAATGTAGCCGTCGATGAAGTCGGGCTTGAGGCGCACGGCATGTCTGTAGTGCTCCAGAGCCTCCGCCAGTTGCCCGCGCTCCTTGAACACGTTACCCAGGTTGGAGTAGGCCTCCGCCAGCATTGGATTCTGCTTAATCGCCAGTGTGCTGAAGTGTGCCGACCTTCACATGAGGACGGCCAGCGAGGATTAAAAATAAAATACCGTTAGGCGCTGAGCAGATGGCACTTCACACCCCTATGAAGAGCTCGTGTATTAAGCAGACTTGACAACACCCATGTAAAGTGATGCAACCAGGCAAATTCCGTGGTGCACATTACTTGTAGCTTGGCCAATGGAGGGATACTATCTTCCCTCAGTCAAAGCTACCCATATGTTTACGCAGGTTCTGACTCCATTAGAATAAATAATATCAAAGGAAATGTGAAAAAGAACAACTTTTAAATAGCATTGTAAAATGTTGAGGACTGTACAGCATTTCCATGGAATGCAAATGCAATAATTCTTAGTTTCCTGTTATTACTTTTTTTCCATTCACATTTAAAAAATACCCAGCAGATGACTAAACAAAAAATCCAAAACTAAAGCCAGTTCCTGCACTTGATGGGGTTAAAATGGCAGCTCAATTGTCTCCAGCCAACCACATTTAAATGCCAAATTGTTAGCCTTAAACAGCCCCACAACTGACTGCATGGCAAACAATACAACTGTGTATTGTTATCAGGAGGCAACAGGCTCAAGATAGCTATCCACAATCCATGGCAACAAGAGCCTTAGATTCCTTATCCAACAAGTACTGGTGCAATGGCTCATTTCAGCAAGTTTCTCAACACTCCCTCGTACTTGCACAAAGATGGTTTACCAACTGGTGAGATATGGTTTTCGGTTTCCATGGTCACATCATAACATTGTCAGAAAAAAATCTGTCAAATTGTATATAAAATGCCGAGGGCCTAATACTTAACAGGTGCTGCTATAATTTAATACTCCAGGAACTAGGCTGTACATAAAGATCTGGAACTATTCAGAATGTTTTATAGCATATCTCCAAAGCACAAAAGCTCCTGCCACAAACCTTGCAACTTTGCAAGTGTATATTTATCGAAATAGTAACAGGCACACATTTTTTTATCTATTCTGCATACACACCCATAAGCCATCAGGCAAACTGAAACACTCACAATTGCAACATTTATTTGGCTGTCCTAAGAATGAGCAGGCCTATCCAACCTGGCTGCATCATTTGCATAATCCATGAGCAATGATGTTAATTTAATGAACATGAGAGTCCTGTTTCTTTAATGTTTGTAAAGGAGACTTAAGGCCTCGGAAGCATGATTTGACCTTACTTCACACCCCACTCGTCGGTTCGGATTTGTGAAAGGGGAGCAGACGTGGTGAAACAAATGATTTTGCAGCAATGCCCATCACATAGCCCCGCATGCACAACATCTAGGATCAATGTCGCTCAGCTTCCGAGAACCGGGTCATTCCAGGTTACAGCATCACATGGTAGAAATTGCTCAGCAGCTGTGGGTTTCAAGTGTGAGAAAGAAAAACAATCACCTGTCGAGACGACGGCACTGGAAGTGGATGGAAGAGAGTAGCAAAAGCACTCCCGTGTTGTCCGGCTCCTGCCTCCACAGCTGCATGCAGTGCCTCTCCGCCGCCTCGTAGTCCCCGGCCAGGTACTCACGGTGAGCCAGCTCCGCCAACCCTTGGAATGACAGTACACGTTTCGTTTGGTCTGGGGAGGGACCCCACGCACATCCGAGGGAAAAGGAAAAAAACAAAAACAAAACATTAGTATGGGTTGATGATGGGAGGGAGGGGGGGGGAGAATATAAAATGTAAATGTATATTAATATTTACTAAATACGGTACTCGCAGAATTATTACTTCAAAGTGAATCTAACCAATAGTATTGGAATTTAACGGATGTGATTGCAACTGTGGCCTTACCAGGAAGGAAGACCTTTTTAAGAACTGAATGGGTATGCATAAGCACAGGCAATTGAATAATCCAATCATCATGCAACTGGATTATTTAATGGCAAATTTAATGAAATACACAATGGGAGGAGGGGGTTAATGAGGAAAACGAAAAGCCATGGAGTCCACATCACTAAGAAAACACAGATACAGCGTTCAGCCTGCATAATTAGAGTACAGGAGAATATACTCACCCGGACAGGCATAGAAAAGCTAAACAATGCAGTTGACAGATCAGCAAACACGGACAGTGCAAAATAATAGAAAACACTTCCTTGTGGCTTGTGCATCTATTTTACAACAAAAAAATGGATTTAGAACCACAAAGCACAGGAGACATTTTTAATTTTCTCAATGTTCACACCGACGTGCTACACTGCAATTCCCACTCGTTATTGTGGCTGCCACCCAACATCAATCCGAAAATCATCTACAGAAGACGTTTGTGGGTGTAAGTGTAAACCAGTTGTCCACTTCTGAAACGTGGTTCACACGGTACAGGCTACGCTCGCGCGCCCCCAAGTGGGCTTGAGTTGTTATTGTTTTTTTTAAAACAGCCTTTTCATTTCATGAAATGGCGTCTAGTTAAATATAGTTCTGCATTATTTGAGCACACATATGATGACAGTCTCCTCCCAACACACCCGACGTCAAAACCATTGCTCGCTTCCGTCTTCAGTTATTTCATTACAGCTATCGTGTCAATGATGACGGTCAAACATCAATCGTCCCACCGCTGGATTAAGAGACCTCGACCGACGCCATCGCAACGCTTCGCCTTCCAACAATCTCATTCCTACACCGATATATGGTTTACAACTCCCGATAACGTGTTCCACCATTCTTGTGGAACACGTTCTTAATCAATGTATTGGCACATCTCCCCCCCCCCCCACCATCACAATAACACAGGGTGCGTTGTGTGCAAATCTAACCAGCGGTCGCAATTCCCGCCATTGATCTGATCTCGACAAACAACACATCTGGTGATTTTAACACGTAGGCTTTCGCCAAGCAGTAGTGCACAATTATGGGGGGAATTAACGTGTCAATCCTTTGGCCTTAAACATATATAAATCGGCGACATTTCACGCAATGACCCTTCTTCATAACACGCACACCTATAATTCATTAACAGTTCCGACTCATTTTAATGGCCACGTTGTTCCCCACGTTCATCCCAAAATCTGCGTCATTAACTGGCCCCGTTCTCTCGCTTTATCCCCCCTCCGCCGTCTCCCGAGTTGTTGTGGAGCGCCTCGAGTCGCCATCGTGGTTCAGCCTCTGCCGGTACAATAACACCATCCAGCTTACGTAACGTCGCGTCCTCCAACGCGCTTTTGGGCGCTGTTCATCGTGTGGCGTCGTGTACATGCTTACATTTTTTTCGGCACGAAAATACGCGTAAAACACAAGTGTACACGGAACGAATACGAAAGCGCACAATGCGCAGCAGATGTTTAAGGGAGGGGGGAGTCGGTAGTATTGTTGTTAACGATACCTTCACTGCGCCTTCAGCCTCATTTTTTACGCGTTCGCCATTTCCAACAGCAACTGTTGAAATAACATTCTAATAACGAATACATTAAAACGGCGTCGCATGCTACGGCCGGCTACTATTTTACTGTGCGAGGCACCGACCGACGCATATATATATTTCTCCGCCAATTTAAACCAAAGCCACAATTAACCACGGTAATAAAAAAAGGGACGCGGATTTCGGACCGCTGTTTTTTTTTTTAAACCCCCACTCGCGTCTAGTTTCCACGCACCGCCATTTACATCAAGCAGGCGAGCCAAGCGAGCTGCTTGCGACAGCCGTCTCTAGATCCACGCGAGCTTGGTTAAGGGCCACGCAGAAGGAGCGTGCCTCGCTCAAATCGCTCCGTTCTCCTCGTCGGGGGAACATTCCCGCGCCGAGGCCCTCGCGGGCCCGCCGAGGGCCTAGTGGGAGAGGCCCTCAAAATGGAAGCCTGCCACTCGCCTTAGGGCGCGAGTCGCTCAGCACTACTCACAAACCAAGCCTCACCTGTCGTGTCCGTGACGCTCGCCACTCCTCCCACGGCGTTCGCCATGTCGGCCGGCACTTCAGCGAGACGACGGTGGCTTCGAACGAAACGATTACCGTCTTGGCGGAAAGGACGAACTTAAAACGTTAAGGGGGAGAAGGGGGGGGGAAAGATGGACGCGAAGCAACCGCGAAGACGAGCAGCGTCGCGCTGCCCGCACAACGACCGGCACTACTTTCCGCCGACTCACCGCGCTTTAATAAAATAGCGACCTCCGCCCCCCCCCCCTTAGAAAATAACACCCGCACTTAACACGCGCTGCTCGGTGAACGCTTCAATCGACAGCATCGCGCGCGCGTTAACGCCAACAACATGTTACACAACCGTGTTTAGTTTAATTTTTTTGTTTTCAACGATATTCAAATTAGGTGGTGGTGGTGGGGGGGGTACACGGGGTGAGGGAGCACGGGGTGGGGGTGCACGGGGGGGTGGGGGTGCACGGGGGGGTGGGGGTGCACGGGGGGGGTGGGGGTGGACGGGGGGGGTTACACGGGGGGGGTGCACGGGGGGGGGGGGGTGCACGGGGGGTGGGGGTGGACGGGGGGGGGTTACACGGGGTGGGGGTGCACGGGGGGGGGGTTACACGGGGTGGGGGGTGCACGGGGGGGGGGTTACACGGGGTGGGGGTGCACGGGGGGGGTTACACGGGGTGGGGGTGCACGGGGTGGGGGTGGCCACTGCGGCACGCGGAGGGATCTGGGCGCGTGGCTCGACCCCCACGTGCGGCCGCGCGGGGCGCGCCACTCACAAAAGGGCGGCTGCGGCTGATTGCAGTGCAGTGTAAATACATTGCTTTTGTTCCTGGGTAGTAAGTGTTATTTCTTGATCGCTTATGCCTCAAAAGTAAAAAATGGCTATTATTCCCCACAAACTTTGCCTTTGTGATCAGAACATTCCAGATATATTCAGTGCTGAGTAAACTTGGAGTAACTTCTAGAACGTTATAGAACTTGCCAGTAATATAAATGGTTAATATTCTTGGTTCTTTCGGTAAAGTCACGTAGAAGGGAAACAATAAAATAAGAAAAATATAAAACAATAAAATTCTCACGACGTTTCGACTGCAACACAAGCAATCATCATCAGGTGTGAAAACCACGGCAAGAAAAATCACACCTGATGATGATTGCTTGTGTTACAAGGATTCATGTCTTTTTACAAAGACATGAATCCTTGTAAAAAGGTTTCAGTTTTGTTGCCAGAAAAAATAGGAAAAACCCTATTATTACATTTTGGTATTGGCAATGGAGGTCTAATGATATAGATGCTCACCCCGAGCCCTCATTACTTTGATAGTACATTGTCTTTGAGCTGTACGCCTTTTTGGCGTCATCTGGTCGAGCACCAATTGGGTCGAGGCTCAAAAGAAAGCCGTCCCTTGGTGTGGACCAATCAGTTTCAAGGACAATGCATATATTATCATAGTAGGTTTTTTGTTTGCATTTTGACTGCAGGTATTGTGGTTAATGTAGACATGAATCCTCGTAAAAAGGTTTCAGTTTTGTTGCCAGAAAAAAGGCGAAAAACCCTATTATTACCGTATACAGTTTTTACCCCGTCTCCATTGTACAGGGAAATTGAGTTTTCAGGTCCATACGCCGGACAGCCATTTCAATACGGGCAAACAAAAACATGTCCATTTGTTTGTGTTTCTCCCTTGTGATGGGACTTTGTAGGATGAACATTGAGATTTATAATGGCACGGGGGTGACCAATACGGTCTGAATTAGTCTGTAATAAGGTAGGGGGCACTGATAAGTGGTTGACAAGTATTGAATAAACCCAGTAAGCATGCAAACGTTGGGCCAACGTTGATGTTGGTGAGTTAGTTCCCGATAAACATGCGAATGTTGGTTGGACGTTGGTTCAATGTTGGCCCAACGTCAGGAAACGTTCCCCGCATGGTTACTGGGATGAAGTACTGTCATTCGCCTGCGTTGTACGATGATAAAGGTGTGAGTGAGAGAAGCCCGCATCCCAGTTACTCATATTGATGTTACAGTCGAACAACAAGCCAATTAAAAGGTGCTGACAGTGGTTTTTGACTGTCACAGTGGAACTTCCCAGAAATTAAGTCGGTGACACCCAGCAGACACGGCACGTTGGGACCCCTTCTGGTCCAAAGGTTTCTACATTCACGTGTCCCCAACGTTCACTGGGCACGTTGGGGCCAAAGTTTTATCTCGGCGACAGTAACGCAAACCGATGTTTTCTTTAATTAACCTGTTTTACCTACATGCTTAGTCGAGAGCAGTTCAACACACGAGGCAACCCACAGTCGATTTAGCGTTTGATAAAATAATCCGAATTGTGCATACGTGCCATTTCAAAAGGATGGCTCCCTGGACGAATACAATGGTTCCACGCATGCACGTAACTTGGCACCATCCCCACCATAACGTGGATGACAAGGTAGTTTTTTTGGTATGTGACTTCAGTCCCTGTTTGCGAGCCACCGTCTCTTAATTGATCATAGCCCAGTGCACTTTATTGCAAGGCCCGCGGGCCACTGGCGGCTCCCGGTGGCCTATAGTGCGGCCCCCAACAATACACAAAAACACTCCTTGCAGGCGGTGTGGCGGCCCTCTCACTGATGTCTTGTCGGCGAAAGTGGCCCACCCCCTCTGAAAATGAGTGAAGAACACTCTCATAGGCCATCGTTACTGCTATTGTGCGACATTCTACTGCAGACGCTCATTAACTAGTCCGTGCATTGCCGATGTAAGCCCCAGCAGGAGGCGCGGTTTTGAGTGGCTGCTGCTGGTGGTGATGATGGAAAATTACAGCTTTATATTTTGGGATTCTTGGGATTCAGTTCCAGTGAAGTCGTTCGTGGGAAGGTGAAATGTTTTTTGCTTTCACTCTCTGACGACCACGCTGGAAATCCAGCTCATGTCGTTTTAAACCAAAATAGAAGTCTGGTTTGAACGGGCTCCCACCTGGTTACACAAATAGCTGGATTTCTTTATCACAGCTCCATGGTCTACAGTTTTGTGTTTAGTCACCACAACTGTCGAGGACCTCTCCCACACTGGTTTGAGATGGAAGCGATGTTGTTTTTGTGTCTTATTGCTTTGAGTTTACAATGCGGCAGTGCGACACATATGTTCAGACTTTCATGTCTGGGTGACAGCGATGGGAAAGCACGTGCTGGAAAACGGTCACGTGGCGTGGTTGACACGGGGCCCGAGTGGGAGGAATGAAATGGAGACGCTTCCCTGTCCAATTTCCTCCCCCCCCCCACCCTCCCTTCTTCATAGCCTGGCTCCTGAGTTCCTGCCGGCCTGTGGACACCGATGTTTAGTTAGTTTGTCCTTCCCCCGCACCTCCGATGAGCACGGTTGGCTAAGTACGGTGCGAAATAAGTTCAACATACTTGAACTCGCCGGCACATTCAACAGGGACGCCACCGCTTCCTACCGTCTGTAGATCTTTAAAAAAAAATGAGCTTCATAGCTCATCGGATTCCTCCAGTCTAGATAAAGATGATGTCTCCAGCAAGGCTATGTTAACTTACTTTAATTAATATTCTTAGTTTTTTCGGTAAAGTCACGTTGAAGGGAAACAACAAAATAATAAAATATATATAAAACAATTAAACATTTTCACGACGTTTCGACCATAACTCAAACGGTCGTCTTCAGGTGTGTTGGTTTGCATACATTTATTTTTAAAACGGTGCAGAGCTTTGTGACGTCATATTAGAGGGTGGGGGGTCTGACTTTCTTTGACGCCGTGTGACGAAGGGGGGGGGGTCAAAAATCGTCCAAATTCGCGTGACGTCATTTATGGACGGCCCCTAACGCCATGACCACGGCGTTGAACAAACAATTTGCGATTGTGCGGTCAAAGAGTGTGATGAGATGAGTTGATGAGGATGGGAGGACGTGAATATGATGACGATGATGCGTGTAATAAACGATCATGAAAGTGGCAATGAGTGTTGAATGATGAGCGAGTGCGATGGATGGGTTGGGGGAAGTTGGGAATGGGGATGACGGTGCTCGTGATGGGGAATGGAGGGGGCAGGGGAGTGGGGGGGGGGGTTAACAAGGGATGCGAAGTGAGTTTTAAGGGAAGAAGGCAAACTAATTCAGTGCCGCTCTTTGTTTGACACCCGTTTATGGGAGAGTCCTCCTCAGGTACAGACAATCAACTTTCATCCATTGGTCGCGAAAGCCTACGTGTTAAACTAATTAACTTTCATGTTGGTAGGTGCTCGAGAACGGCACGTGTCCCAACACTCTTGAGGGGCCGTCCATAAATGACGTCACGCGATTTTGGACGATTTTTGACCCCCCCCCCCCGTCACACGGCGTCACAAAAAGTCAGACCCCCCCCCCTCAGATATGACGTCACAAAGCTCTGCCCCCCCCCAAAAAAAATATATAAAACATGCTTCAAATCGCTTTAAACTATTGTCATTGTAGTGCGTATTTAATGTGGCGCTGCACTCTGATGTTGTAGGAGAAAACATTTTTTTTAAAGTCTATTTAATTAAGTAGAACGTGTTGTCTATTTAAAGTTGCGCATTTTGATGTGACGTCACATTTCTCAAACCCTCCCCCCTCGTCACACATCGTCACAAATGTCTGACCCCCCCCCAGGTGCGTGACGTCATTTATGGACGGCCCCTCAATGAGACTAAATCGTGGGATGTTTGTGAATAGGGCTGCGGTACTGCCGAAATAATGGCGGCGCAATGTTTTGTTGATAAGAAATTATTTGTAATTCTTCTTTGTTTAAATCGCACCGCAATCTCTTTTCTGCTTCACCAATGTGGGTTTTTTATGTTCTCACTGAATAGCAAAGTTAAGGCTGTAGTGGAGAATGCTCCATTAATAGACGCCTCACTAAGTAAAAAAAATACGGAGACATTACAGTTTCGGGAAAACATTTTTTATTCAAAGCATCTACATATCTCCCACCTATCTCAATTCACATATTAAATATTTTCACACTCTCCCGACAATGTGTCCAACAACACCGATCTGATTTACTCACGACATTCAATGATGCGTTGGCGTAGGTCATTGATAGCTCACGCTTTTGTCACGTACACAACACACACACACAAGCCTTTGATGTAACCACACAAGACAAAGCCCAGGGGTCGTCTAACGCGAACAAAGGGCCCGTGCAATTGGTGCGCCCCAGCCAATCCAACATGAGACCAGGGTAATTAGCAACATACCACGACGAAATCACCAAGAAAGGGCCGATCTTGGCAGCTAAACGGGGTTGAGAAATGGATCGTGCGTGGGCGGGCGATCAACATGCACACGTTTGTCACATAGGGCCGCATGCTCGGTGTTCAGAGGTCAGTGCAGTAAACATGTTCGCACGATCGTGACATGCTTCGGTGTCTGTACCTCCCGCATTCGCCAGTGTGGTGAATTGTGATCGAATAACACCCAACGACGCACACGGGCACGGGAAGGTCCTCGTCTGGCAGTGGATTGGCACATGCACGCTGCACGCGTGTATACATGTGGGTAAATGGTTCTCCATTACATAATTATTCATGGTCACACGCCACCCGCTTGTAGTTTTTTTTCTAATAAAACCCATCTTCCCTTCTTTAACCAGCGCTGTTTCATAGCCTATGTTTCCCGCTTTCGCGAAATGGCAAGTGTTGAGTGTGGTAATATCCACTGTTACCAATACCGTGTTATGTCCCTGGAGTCTCGTGGCATTAAGCAATACACTTCCCGTGCACATTGCCAACCGCAAGGATCCCTCCGCGTAGTCTCTCAAGGACCGCTTCAGAAAGTTGGTGTTGGCAAGCAATCCAACGATAAGCCCGGAACGACACTTGAGCCGACAAGGTGTCCAGCCCCACGCTTGGCCACCAAGCTTACAACAGCCCAACGCTCCTTGAGGCTGAGTCGATCTAGGGGAGGCGCAGGACCGGCCCACGTGTCACTCGACATTCACGTGAGCAGTAACGTGGGAATCGAAGGTTCCCGGGTTCGCAGCACGGTGCGCGAACCGCTGCGCCACCGCTCCCCATTAGTTGGCCAAGCACACACAGTGTTCCTCAGTGTTCAAACGTTCAGAGGCAGACGCAGCAACATACGTAATTCCTTATTTACTCTGGGGTTAAGTCTCACTTAATTGGCGAAGTTGAAAAAAACCGTCGTTCTAATTGAGTGCGTCAATAGAACCAAACATGCTCTGGGTGGGCGTGACAGAGAGAGCACAGTTTTGGACGTGCAATTTTATCCACGATTGAAAAGTATAAATGTTGATGGCACTTATCGCGTGAGCCTTCACTCGGCACGCACAAACACGCAGCGCCGCGGCTGGGATGAGACGAACAACACAGCTCGTTGTGTGCCGGTGATTAGATGGAGTTTTGACAGTGAGCCGTACACAAGGCGGTATTGTATTTCAGGGCGCAAGTTAGTAGCACTGGATTTTCTGATGTCGACTTAGAACAAAACAACACAACATCCACAGTAATGCCTCTCATGCAGAAGTCCACAGAACACATTTCTAAAAAAAACACATTAGTCGATTCGATATCTAAAACACTGAAATGTGTCCATAATAAAGGTTATTTTGGGGGTTAGATCGATAAAAAAAATGCGTCACATTTTTTTACTCATTAGCCGTGTCGGGTGGTGGAGGGTTGCGACATTTATAAATAACGCGATATAACCAAAAAAAACCCTTTATTATTAATAATATTGGTCGCGAAAGCCTACGTGTTAAACTGAAATGTGTAAAGACCGAAAAATGACCCCAAGCCACATGCAGCCTAATGGCTATTTAAGCATAAACAACGGTCTCTGATTGGAAGAAAGAGGCCTCCACGGTGATTGGTCGGGAGGCAGACTTTAAAGGGATTGGAGACTAAGGGTTGAACGGGAAACACAAAAAGGATCCGTTCAAGGGAAAGTACGGGGATTGGCTCGAGGTAAAAACAAAGACGAGAAGGTTCGAGAAAGGGGGGCTGAGGGAGATATAAGGGGGGGGGGGAGCACGGGGAGTGGGGGAGCTCGGAGGAAGATACAAGCACCAATCCTAGGGTCCCTTATTGTAGAAGTCTTCAAATGAAAGTGGCTCTTCATATAACCTATCGCCGAGTCGTTACAAATGTTTACAATTACACTCAGGACCGTCCATGGGGGTGGGGGGGGGGCAAACTCCACCGTGTGGGCCCCCCGCCGCCTTCAAACTAAACCTGAAGTATTACATCTGGTATTGTGATGTTGAAACATGCCGCCCCCCCAGCCAAAGCGCGCGGGGCCCGGGACGGTCACCCCGATCCGCCGCACCCTAGGGGCCGGCTCTAATCACCATATCACATGCACGCGAGTTACGCCAGGTTGGCCATGTCTTCATAGATGTATTGGTCCGCAGTGTTCTCAACAGCAGGGGCCTGTGAACAACAAGGCAGCTCTCGTTTAACGTAGGAATATATATATAGTGTATATCTCTGCACGCATGCTTTGCAACGGTGTGTACCGGTGGACTAACAAAACAGGGGCCCTGTTACATCGTCATGGCATTAGTTGTCATCGGAGGTCAACCAGGCCAACAAATAAAATGCGTAGTTCTGAGCAGCCTTGGTGAAGTATGGTCAAAACCAACCCCCGTGACTGACAGAATGGGCTGGCATTCAACTAGCAGTGGATTCGATAAAGGGGCTGCAAATAATTATTTTTTATTATTATTATTACTGCTATCAACATTTATAAGTTACAACGTTAACTGGAAACCCAATGAACGGGTGTTGTACGAGGAGCGTGTTTTTTTCATGGAGTGCACTTATCCGCGGTCTGGTATACATGGGGTAGTAAATATTGGGTGCGAGTCCAATCGCCTTCCTGTGGGATGAGACTTGCGACGATTGTAAAGGTATCTTAGCCCCTGACAGTGAACGTAAGAATCAAGAAAGCTTGATACGTAACTGCCGTTGAACCATTTGTTGAAATAAATCAATCGGTGTTCAGGGAGTAAAGAAATGATGAAGAGTGATCACAGCGGGGTATGTTATGTTTTGCACGTTAGCCAGGCGTTGTCGTGATGCTAATTGTGACCATTTCACTGCCCTGTAATAAATAAGCGCGACGCATTGTCCATAGTTCACCTGGAGCTGGCCACATGTTGCACGTTACGCAATTATTGCCAGCGCAGCACTTTGTACCACAGCCAGTGTGTCAGTACATATTTAGCGTAACGGCTATGACGGGACTTTTAATGAGTCACAGGACTGCAGGAGAATATTTATGGTATTTATTTCATTGTTGTGTGTGCATATACGTATCATGCACTGCCCTCTACGCAGAATACCATTACATGCACGAGCACGTGAAATTATAATTGCATTTTCATTTTGCCCATGAAATTCAAAGTCACGAAGTGTAATGAATGGAGAGTTAATTTAAATTGTTACACAAGGGCGATCGCGTGCAGCCAGTTGCCCGGCTATTTTACAAAGGGAGATCCGTTGCGATGCGTGAGCACAGCAGTAACAAAAAAACAAAGACGCGAGACATCAATGTTTCAGAGAGCGAGCGCAGCAGGGCGCTTAAGGAATATTGCACAACTAACGAACGATGTATTTAACGGTCTCAAACGAGACACAGGTGAATCAAATGCACCGTAGATTTGTGCTTTGAAATTTTGGCAGGTGGCCAGAATGTAGGCGGAGTGATTTTATACGATGATTCTCGGGGGGATTAGGAATGAGATGCTCACTCGGGCATCAGCCACGTATGTATTTATGTTGAACTTCTTTCGCACCGTACGTAGCCAACCGTGCTGATCGGGGGTGCGGGGTAAGCACAACAAACCTAAACACACCAAAAGCAGTTCTAAATAAATGAGTTTTTAATCTAGATATAAAAGTGCATAGCTCCTAGTTGCTTCCTAACATCGGAAGGAAGAGCGTTCCAGACGGCCGCAGAAGTGCATCTGAACGCGCGCGATGTGGTGACCACCGTCTTTGTTCGATGGCTCAGTCAAAAGCCGCTGGGAGGATGACCAAAGTTCGCAATCAATAGTCACACTCCATCTCTCTGGAGCAATATATTGTGCTCGTATCTTCCAGCCAGCCTTATAAAATCCAATTCCTAGCGCCTCCAGTGCCCAGTCAATTTCCAAACATTTACCAATCTTCTGCATCAGTGTCCTGCAATGTAGTAGCAGTTAGAAGCTATATAAATTCAAATTGCATTGTCTTGTTAAATAAATACTCAAACTTGGCCTCCAAGTCAATATCATGGGACTTTTAAATTGCTCAAGTAAGTTCGCACTGACCAATTTGGTGAAGTATGGTCAATAACCCCTATGACCCAGAGAGTGAGGAGAAGGCCCCATCCAGCAGTAGATTGTATTGTAATTGTAACTAAACTGTAAATCGGGTGATGGTGCACAGCTCACATCTGTCGATATATAAGCCCGGAAGCCTGGACCATAAGGAGGAATGAGCAACGTTTCTGCCGTCAAGCTAATTTGTCATTTAATTCCACAGTTAGTTCGTACCATTGTGACAAGGAGCCCTATAACACGCAACACCTTTGAAAGCGTGGCAGGGCTAGAAGAGGAGATGACCGTATTCATGAAGGCCCCTACGCCTTTAAATTGTCGATTTCTTTTTTTTTTAAAGCCCGTGATACAAAAGGGATGTACTCACGTGTGTTGGTATGATCTTCCGCATGCTCTCGTAATGCTTCACGGTGTGGTCAGGCGGAGCTGAAACGTGCAACGCAATCGACTGATGACGACGGTGCCGCCGCTAATAATAATTATGATGATGCTGCTGCTGCTAAGTACGCACATTTATCAACATGCACAGCGCAACAAGGCAGCGGAACGACCTGTCGGTTTAAAGCCTCGCATTAAGCGCAACATTGCGGACATTAAAGCCGTTTTTACGCTTTTTGAACGACAACCCCCCCCCCCCCCTATTAAAATTCGAGGTGTTTGGTGCAGAATAAATGTCGTGAACACCTGCGCAGGTGACGCGAGCGTTGTACCCACAGGAGTGGTCCTCAGGCAGGCGGAGAGAAGCCGTGTCGGTCGTTTGCACGCTCTTCGCGAAATCTGGCAACAGACACAGTAGAAGAGTTCCGAATGAACACGCCGCTGATGCTAGGGAGCGTTTATGGTGTTCCACATGTGTACCGATCAGGTAAGAAGACTAAACGGTAGTTGGGTGACTACCTCAAGTATGTGCGATTAATTCAGACTTGATTTCTTGGAATAGGTGTCCATTTGGTGTTTAAACATCTTAACGCCTCCTTTATTATTGCCAGAAAGGATAAAGCCTATTCTGTTTTCGTCAGTAACGGAGTGATGGTTGGGATATTGTAAATGAAAGGCTGCTGTAGTGTAAACGGTTATGACTCAGGGTGTAACGATGTGTGAGTTGATTGATTGATTATTGATTGACATGATACTTATATTTAAGTAACCGTGCAAGGATCTCTACTATTTTTAATTTGTTATGAGTTCATGTGCCACATCCATGCAGCTAAACAATCTTCAATATGTACTCTTGACTCGAGACGCAGACAGTATGAGAATCACAGATACGACTTTAAGTTAATATTTTTGAAAAATTTAAATTCTACTTATTAAATGGGTATTTGTTTATATATTACAAAAAGTTGTTATGCATTCTGAAATATATTTAAGTGTGTATTATGATAGCGATAAGTTAATAAATATCTCGCGTGTGCTATCTGGTTCGTCTGGGTGAGCTATGTCCTTTGCTCCATGAGATATCTTTAAGTGACCTCTTTGTTTCACACTGTAGGGAGCACGAAGTTCCCACACCACTCATCCACTTCGCCACTGCAATGTCACAAGACAAAACTGGCATCTACCCAAACATCATGTGATGCAGTGTGTGCAGTCAGTGGTGACCAAACTGAGACCAGTAAATCACAAAACCTGTGAGCCCCGTTTAACAAAAAGGTAGCGTCCTTGATTTGAACCCAGGATGTCAGTGGTGCCAGCTCAACACTCTGACCCTCTGACCCTCTGACCTCTTCGCCACCTGGACACTTCATCTCTAATGTGAGCTTGGTGCCCATGCTCACTGGGCTGTCATTTAGGCATACATCCACAACAAGTGGTCAATTCCAGGCTGTAGCATTTCGCTGCTAAATTGTCAAGTGTAAGGATAGGAACACACTGAATTTGTTTTGTTCAACTTAAGTTCAATGACCACTTACATTACATGAAACGTATCCGTACCCCCGCCGTGGAGCTGAACTTACAGGTAAGGGCTCATTGGTGGGTGACGATTGCTTCAGAGCACTTTACTCCGCCCGAATCACGGTTGGCCGCCGATTTCCACGAAAGTTTACTGAACGTTCTAGATTTCAACCGAGAAATTGCTGTGGCGGCGTTCACTCCACACGCCCACGGCATCACTGAACTGAGGCGTAAGTGGCCATTAGGTTAAAGTGATCCATTGTGATCCCTCCTTTAGGCTATTTGACTTTGCCGTTAAGTTGGATTTGGTAGGGCAAGTATTTGACAAAATGGAAGCCACTACCCCCTGGCTATGGTAACGCTCACATGAACCTTATGGCGGTACCTTAGTACCCCGGGGTACCATAGTACCCCGGCTCTCGCATAATGTCCGTGACGCAGTCATTTTTAGTCTGTTGATGGTCGGCGATGCGGCAATCGACTCATCTCGACGAGCTGTGCACGATGCACCACCACGGTGCGTGCGAGCGTTCAGGATTACAGCGCAATCGTCCTCGCTGCGTTTCGACATTGCAGAGTAGCACTGATTTCGGATTGATTGCTACCCCAGTCGCGGAGTGAAGTACACCCCTGGAAAAATAGTGTCCCAGAAATAAAATATTTAATTGCCTCAGGCCATTTTGTATTATTTGTTACCCCGGGGTACCGCTAAAAGGTTCACATGCACGCGTGCCTTAGTTTCTCACACAATATTTTCTGGGGGCAACCCCAACCCCTATCATTTTATTTGTCCAGAGCACAGCCCTGGACAGCTCCAGCGGGCGATGTAAATTCGCCACCAGGCACCGGCGACGAAGTCAGGTCCCCAATCCGGCCGCGCGATTCGCGGCTCATCGCACTGGGCTCGTCGGCTTTTTTGGGTTGGCTCACGCGCGGGGCCGCAGTCGCTGCGCCCACACGCCACACAATACCTGCGTCCAGCAGCGCGGCCCGATTCGCAAGCAGACGTCTTCGCAGGGAGCGTGTGGCTGCCACCAGCAGCACGGTCAGGGAGGCCAGCAGCAGGCCAGTCGGCACAACAACCCATCTCAAGGAGTCGCCTGAATTTGGGCCCGTGGACGGGGTGACGACCTGCGGTGGGTGATGCAGGGACAGACAGGACAGGAGAGAACCTTACGTTCAAGGATGTGGCCCTTGTTGCAAGCAAGAGGATCAGAGAAGGCCCAATGCCAAAAGCGTCGTGTCATTGTTATTATTAAGGTTAACTGTTGCTTCACTCGTGGTTGGTTTATCCGGGTTGCACATTGACCATGCATACATGTTTATTTAGGGGCTTCATTTCTGATGTAATATTTTCCAGGGCACTCAAGCTCCATCCCCCCCTCTCCCCGCATCCCGCTCTCTCGCCACGACAGACAAGCACTGAACAGCTCTGGTTGAACTTGTAACGGTCGCGTTGGTTGTACGAGTTGCTCCTAACTCGTCGAGGGTCAGTGACTCAGGGCCCAAGGCACCGCAATGAAAAAAGCATTGTCAGCAAGAAAAGCGATCGCTTCCAGAAGCGATAAAAACAGACGGCGCATCCAATTGTCTCCACCCCACACTCCGCGCAGGGAAACAATGCTGTACACATGTATCAGTAGTACACACATATATCAGCAGTGCATATATATATCAGAACGAGGCTCTTTGTTGAGACTGCAGGAGGAATCCGATGAGCCATGAAGCTCTTTTTCACAGGTGTCCAGTATGGGCGGGTCAGATGTCATATTTTTTTTCTCAGCCTAACGGACGCACATGTAGCAGCATTATCCGCGTTTTGGTTCCATTCAAATCACCCTCCCCTCCCATGACCCTGGATAAGTGAGAGTCGACTCTATGATTAGCATCATCATTATTTACATTAGATGTTTTTCGTTGTAAAGCTGTGCTGATGAAGAGGGAAAGCTATTTTTTAAGAATTGTTTTAGGACAATTATTTTAATTGAGAAAATGTGTAGAATGCTCACGAGTTAATCTATATTCATCCTGGAGAAATCCGATGAGCTATAAAGCTCTTTTTCACAGATGTCCGGTAGGGGGGGCTCAGAAAGTTACAACAAAGAGTACAAAAAATATACCTGTACAGTGGACGTTACAGCTGCACTTGTTACGAGTAATGACACACCTGTTCAGTGGAAAAATAACAACACAAAATCAGCTACTGGTGAAATGCAAAGGGGTGGATAAGTCACGCAGTGCTTAGCTTCCTGCGCTATGAAACCGAATAAGGCTTGAGCTTGAATCCCAGCCACGGCTAACATCAGTGGCAAGTGATATCTGAATGAGTCCTGAGCCCTTCCACATTCACAAACCCACATTGTCGAGTGCGGTGAGAGGTCTGATGAACCAACTCAATGAGCGACATGGTGTGAAGAGGATTTCACCCAGCACAGGGATGACAGAATAGCTACGCACGACGCATGATGCCAATGCAGCGCCGTAAAACGCAATTTGGATGTATGCAGTTCTCTTTAGAATGGAACTGCATCTCTAAAGGTCATGGCGTGAAACAGGTTTAAACAACTGTACAAGCAGAAAGCTTTCAGTATGCGTGTTCACATCGTCCGCACCTGAGTCGGGGGAAAAAACATACATGAGGCCACAATGTCTCGTACGTGTGTGTTGAACATCTTTCGCACCGTACGTAGCCACCCATGCCAATCTGCTGCTTTGCCACTGAAACTCTCAATAAACAATTGGACTGAAGACATTTCATTTCGTGTTCGAGCTTAGCAATGTAGAAAATGCATTGTTATGCACAAGCGGATTTATGTTTGTAAAAGGGATGAGTTTCATATTTATATTTAAAAAAACATATATTTTGGATTTTTAGATTATCAAGGACAAATTCAGATTATTTTTTTTATTTTCCGATGATCAGATGATTTACATCGTATAATAATGTAACGGTATCTTTGTGCTCACAAAGGCGACGTCGCTGATGCCACGTTACCCCACTTCTGTTGGTTAAAGCGTGAAAGATTCGTAACATGCGGGATTGCTTCACGTGAGCTCATACTGTTGGATCAATCCGAAACAACCACAACAACAAAATTTCGAATTAAAGCTTTCGTAACTGCAGGGATTCATATTTATTGTTTTATTATTATTTTATTATTTCCCTTCTTACGTGACTTTACCGAAAGAACCAAGAATAACAACAAAAATATCAATCCGGATAAAAATTTTGGCGAAATTTCATATCTCGTAGGACGCCCGATTTTCAGATGAAACCAAAACTGGGCACCGCGTCCGCGAAGTTGCTACCCACCTTGCCGCAGAACCTCCAGCAGCACGCTGTTCACGCTCCTGGAGCCGTTCTCCCACGTCAGGCTGCAGGTGAACACGCCCTGGTCAGAAGATCGCACGTGGGCTATCCCCAGAGTGAACTCGACGTCCTGACGCCAAGAGGGAGAGCCACGCTGTCGCCACATGGCGAGGCGCCGCCCGAACATGCGCAGGGCGTCGATGTTGTATCTCGCGTTGAAAGTGCCGTGCGATAAACTGCCCTCCGCCAGCTGCAACGGTGCGCGGTGGTTTTTTCCCGTCCACTCCCAGTGGACCGTCGGCTGTTTGGGGCTGACGCGGGAGACAGTGGGGCATTGCAAGGACACGTTCTGGCCCACGGGCACGGCCATGTTGTTGTGGGCATCTGTGTGTGCGGAGCGCAGGGGCACAGCGAGCATGAGGATGTGACGTCGAATTAAAATAAAACTACAGCCTAAAATATATATTTTTAATTTTAACCAGGTATGGCTCACTGATCTATGTAGCTCTCTGTTCAAAAAAGACCTGCCGTCGCAAATGATAGGTCAACGAAGCGGCTTATCAAACGTGGAAATATATAGCAGTCAAACACTCTCAACGCATGAGATTGATTAGAAGTGTGGAGGGGAAAACCGGAGGACCCGGAGAAAAATCCAAGCGACCACGGGGAGAGAGAGAGACACGCAAACTCCAAATATACAGCAGCAGGCGTCACGGTCGGGAACGAACCCACGAAAACGAGGCCCTCCTGGAGTGAACGTCGCATCACCGCGGCGAGATGTTAACTGAGCTGTACAGCGAAATATAAACGTGTTGACGAGCTTTCCTGAATGCATTCGTTTGGCAGCACGAGGTGTGCGAAATCGTAGCAAGGATTTTTGTTGCCGTGCAATGAGGTGACAGCCTCATGGGATGTCTCCTCACTCTCAATCTGGATTTACATCCTGTACACATTTCGTGTGTACTTTAGCATAGAACGGAGTTAAAGTGCCGTAAATGTCAACACGATCGGCATGCTCTCTTACAGATGACAATACAGTCCACACACATAGACATATCCATTATCTCGTAATTAGAAACAGTCCATGTCACCATCGCATTCACTGACGTGACAGTAGTCCCGCGCCTTCCTATGTACGTATATTGAACTTCTTTTGCACCGTATGTAGCCGTGCTAATCGGAGGTGCGGGGGAAGGACAACAAACTAAACAGCGGATTTCCTTTCCAAGACAGAACATCTGGACCGTCTTTTTCTGCCTCCCCCTCCCGATCCATCACAACTCACCCAATGCTGACAGCACGATGAGCTGAACACAAAGCGGCAACACAACGCATTTACAAAATCCGTGCATGGTTCCTCTTCGGGGCAGGGCGCAGCAGCGATCCCCTCGCTCTCTTCCCTCTCTCTTTCTCTGCGCCTTGTAGCTGACGTTTATTAACCCCCCCTGTGCGCCGTGAGTCGCTCTCGACTTCCCGGTCGCGGTGAGTCTGAAGTTGCGGTACGGCGGCGGAAGTTGCGATCTCATCCCGGCCTTATATGAATTTGCGAGGAGGATGTGCTTCTTCGATTCTTCTCTCTCTCTCTCGTCTTAATTGTCACCGTGCCACGTGAATTGTGCACGAGTGGCATTCGACCGCGGTGAATTAACTACTTGGCAGCCGAGGTGCTGCAGTTGTGGCTCGCTCCTGCACGTGGGCAGATCTCGTTGTTTCATCTCAGTGCTGGGTCATCGTCTTGGTCACGAAACTACAAAACTCTCCCCTGGCTGCCGCTACATAAGCGAGTGACCCATTAGTCGCTGTTCCTCTGTTGTCCTGCTCAAGCCCACTTTCCTACACAGTCACTGCGATGATTTTGATTTGTGTTTACTCTTTGAGTCACGTGTTTCTCTTTTAAAAAAATTCCCAGCAGGCATCTCTCAACGCTTTGCACACTTTTCCGTTGTCTTTGTACCATTTGACTAAGTCCGCTTTTCCAATCCATACGACATCGCAGGGAATCTGAGATCGATTTAAATTGTTAATCTGTCGACACACGGTTACGTTGCTTATCATGATCAAATCCGTGCAAATGCAAAGTGTACGGCTACACATGGACACTGCCGCCCCACCATGAGGCCCGCTTGTCATCCGGACAGCCCGTGTGGACCGACGTTCCGCAACACGGTGCTGTCAAGGTGGCGGTGAGGTTCGCACAAGACATGACGAGCCGCTTCCTCAATTGGCGACCCCCGAATTCGGCTTCCTGGCGTTGGCTCGTCACGCCGGTCATCCCTGGGCCCCCCTGCTCAACGGGCGCCGTGCCAACTGCACCTCCGATCGGCTACGTACGGCGCGAAAGAAGTCCAACACACTGTGCGTACGAATCCTGTTGCGTTTCGCAATTGTGTCCGACTCACAATTCGTCCTTTTATTGTTGTCCAGCGGTTTATTGCACTGGCCAATAGTTTATTTCGATGTTAAATCGTGATCCAACCTTTGTAGCCTCCTTTATGAAATTCTACCGCTGGATCATTTCCCACGTGTCACTCCCGTGACTTGCTCTCATCAGTCGCTACCCAGGCGGCAACTTGCATGGTTCTGCTGCACTGTCGTGAGTGGCTCGCGCAGCGATGTTTTACAAGTGCGTATCGTCACACTTCGGACACGCCTCTGTGTATGTGTGTGTGCCGTAGGTAGTGTAGCTGTTTCCCATACCTGGGCAGTGTGCTTATGACCGGCTCCAGTTTAACAGCAGAGGTCTCACTCCGAATCAGTCGAGCGGCAATATCTTTTCATCGGTTGCGTAACGCTGTGTGCAAGCTACCTGGTCTGTCGCTCCGCACTAAGCTTCAGGTCTTCTCGGCCACGGTCATTCCCTCCCTTCTCTACGCTTGCGAAACGTGGACCCCCCTAATGGAGCATCTTCGCCGGTTAGAAACATTTAGGCTAGCCTGCCTACGATCCATCCTGGGTTTAACCAGACTGGATTGTGTGAGGAGCTCACAAATCATTGAAAGATCTGGGCAAGGTCCCATCGGTGAGCTCCTCCGGCGGGCAAGGCTGCGATGGCTGGGTCATGTAGCCCGCATGCCCAGCCACCGCATGCCGAAACAGCTTTTGTTCGGCCGGATCGAGGGGACTAAGCGGGCGCGGCACGGGCTAGAGAAGACATGGAGTGATGTGGTACAGGAGGACGTGGAGCTGAGTGGACTTGCCGATGACTGGAACCAGCGGTGTCAAGATCGGCCTATGTGGAGGAGGCTCGTGAAGGACGCTGCTACTGGGCAGTTGGAGGCAGTCGCCCTCCAACAACAACGGAGGGCGGAGGAGCGACGCTCACAACAACGAGCGGAGCGCCGGGTGGCTAAAGCACAGCAAGTTGGCACAGTAGGGGGAACAGGTGGTGCATCAGCCAGTCATCTCAGTCAGTCGACCCGTGGTCCCTGGGTCTGCCCCGTGAACTCCTGCCAGCGGGCGTTCGACACTTCACGTGGCCTCAGGGTGCACATAGCCTGGCACAAGCGTCGTGGTGACGTCACCGCCACTTAGTGGCGAATGGCGGTTGTTGTTGTTGTAGCTGTTAGCGCTACGCTGGGCTATGAATCATAGTTCGTATTTTCTTCTTCTTCTTCCACCGTTCTTCTCCATCTCGTATCACACAGCCGAGTCGGCATCGTCTATAGTCGCACGTGGCGCATGCCAAACCGCCTTCTCTTTGAAGTCTGCACCTCCCAAAATCACCCCCCCCCCCCCGCGGTCTCGTGGCATTTGGTGACGATTTGCGCTCTCGTTTTTCAAACGCGAGGAGGCGGTATCGCAGTTTTGTTTCGCCTAATGACTGACGAATTAAGAGCGTCGATTGCGCAACTCTGCGGTACACAAAGACAAAGGTCCCCCGTGTAGCCGTGACAGACTGTTGGGGCAAGTGCTGTTCACGAGCACCTCTGAAGGCCGGCACGGTGGCACACGAGGGGGTGGGTGGCCAGCACCACGCCCGGCCGCCTTTGCCTCCAAAGTAGCGACGTTTACTACATACCGCACCAGCAGTGCCGGAATAAGCTCGTGCAGGGCCTATAGCATATGTTATAATGGGGATTTTGTTTGTGCCGAAACGCAGGTGCGTTGTGTCTGTGGGCGGTGCGTGCGTGTGTTTGTTTGAAACACGCACAGGGCTTAGCGATAACAGGGTGAAAATATATCACCATTATTATTAAACTTGACGTAGACAGGAACTGAAAGTGGATGATAAGATGCACTTCCCCTCCTCCCCGCTCTCGGAAGTGTATGTACAACTTTATTCTCTTTGATTCTTTCGGTAAAGTCACGTAGGTATAAAATAAAGAAAATCACGACGTTTCGGGCGCAACACAAGCGTCTCTTAAAATTAAAGTGGCAGGCATCGACCCCCTCTGTCATTAATTGGATTTGACCTGCACGTACCTTATGTTGAACTTCTTTCGCACCGTACGTAGCCAACCGTGCTAATCGTCGGTGTAGGGTGGGTGGGGGGGAGGAGAACAACAACAACAACACACATTGTTTACTCGCAGGGTCGAGTGAGAAACTAGCGTGTCAGGGGTCAATGACCTCCCAGACGTGAAATTCGTGCGATACACCAAACGCTGTCAAATAAACACCGCAGCCCCACTGCCAGGTTTGGGTAGCGATTTTAAAAACAAACCGCTGGATGCCAATTCCGACCCACGGGACGCCACCGCCACGACCAGCAAAGCAGCTCATGTCACGCTGTGCCTCGGCTACCCACGGTGTACTTCTCTTCACGAGCTGCTGATGGGTGCTTGCATAATGCACGTGCAGTGAGCAACTTCCCAGAGGCATCGAGTAGAAGGCTTCTTATTTATTAAGAGCACACGAGGCGATACACTTCGTAACGCAGCTACACATAGGCGATCCTAACACGCAGCCCATCTCCGTCATACACTACGCTAGCAGTTCGACGAGCGTAGCGGCGGCGACGGTCTTGCAAAAGAACAGCCACGTGGTCCAAGACGAAAAGATGACGACGAGCAGCGACGCAGCCATGACCCAGGACCCGCAGAACAGCCCCGAACCCTTGGTTCGGTCCCCCGTATATCTGCCCGGCGCGGCCAAGCTTTACCCGCATTCACTGCAGGGTATAAGTTATTATTATCTGTGTGGAGCCCCGAGGCCTGGATTGGAAAGCCACACCCTGATAGAGGCCACGTGCTCCATAGGGGCACGTGGAACACACGGAATGGGCATCTACAGACGTCAAATTAAGGCCCTCTTACATAAACTATAGAGTAAAACGATGTCGTTTCTGGCCAAGCATACACTTGTAAACATGTTTAAGAGCATTTAACGAATGGCGTATACAGCAGTGCTCTTCTACGAGAAGCATTACATATTCCTCGCCCCCCTTCTGTGTAACCCGGCATCTGGGCCACTCCGAGTCACGGGTTCTGGTGCAGTTTCACAGCCTGCACACCCAACCGCTGCTCCACCCACCGTCGTATACTCAAATCGGACATAAATGTATCCACATATAAAAAAAAAAACATAAATGTCTGATTTGAAGAGATAAAAGTATTAAGATTGTAACTTTAATGTTCACCTCCCTGGTCTCGCTTGCAAACAGAGATTCAACTCAATCGCCTCTGTCCTGGTAGTAAGGGGGTATGTCTGGTAGATCCCAACAGGACGTTGTCTCAGACTGTCGAGTACTGTCACGTAACAATGGCATGTTTTACCAGAGCCGTCTTCCGACCATCAGTGGCTTTACGTCAGAGGGGAAGTAGAAGTAAAACAAGCCGTGCGACTGTTTATTTACCTACGTCTTTATTTCTGCCCCATCACAAACTCAAATTATAAAGCTCAGCCACTCGCTTCCTCGTCTATTTCAGCTTCTGTTCAAAAACAATTTGTCTGCGTATTTAATCGCTTTGTGTATACAGGCGTGCGCGTGTTCTCTAAACCATCTGTGCCTCCCTCCTCTGCCTGTCTCTCAAGGAATGCAACGATTCACAGACGAATACGTGAAGTGGGATTTGGCAGTACACATTACAAAAAAAAAGACTAAACATTTTTTTTTATTTTACCAGGTAAGGTCCACTGAGCTGTACAGATCTTTTTCAGAAGCGACCTGACCACAAATGATAGCTCAACGAAGTGGCTTATCACGTGAAATTTTATAACAGCAAAACACTAAACGGATGTTGCTAAATGTGGATGGAAAAACGGGAGGACTCGGAGAGAAATAAATGCGTCCATGGGGAGAGAGACATGTGAGCCCCACGACCTTCTGTGTACCAGGCGAGGTAGTTAACATCTCGCCACTTTGGCCCTCAAAGCGATGATGGTCAGTGTTTGAAACGAATGAAAGTGGCAGCCAAAGGAGGAAATACACTCGAGACGACGTGCCCGTGGAGACTGAGTGACAACTTCAGCTCCACGTGCAGGAGCTACATTGGATTGTTGCATCCCAAGACCGTACGAGGTGGTGACAGCGTGGGGAGGCTTTCATCCAGCAGTGGATAAATCAGTAAAAGAACAACATTTTACGTTTCCGAACTTAACAATAATATGATGGGGGTGTTTGTGTGTATGTGTGTGTGTGGGGAGCGGTAGTGTAGCAGTTAGTGCTACGCTGCGCTACGAAACTGGCGACCCGGGTTCGATTCCCGCTCACGGCCAACACCGGTGACGATAATTTGAACCGGTCCTGGGCCTCCCCTAGGTCGCCTCAGCCTCAAATGAGTACCTGGTGCGGTGTGTAATTATCGCCACTAGGGAGACAAAGGCGGCCCGGCGTGGTGTTGGCCACCCACCCCTTCGTGTGCCGTGCCGGCCTTTATAGCTGCTCGCTAACAGCACTTGCCCTTTCAGTCTGTTAAGGCTATACGGGGGTTCTTTGTGTTTTGTGTGAGCAGTCATTGGGTGGATGCTGGGCTGATACCATTATCTCGCCACACTTGAAACCCCCGAATGTAATCACAGCTGGGGGTTGCCCCCTCATTCGCATATCGGGGGTCTCGCCCAGTGACGGGTTCAGCGCTCTGACCCCTGGAGCCACGCTGGTGACCTCCAAGGTCACGGTCGCTCAAGTCGGTCTCGTCATTGGTTGACGATATCGCACGAAGCTCATTATTTTGGTCTCTCATTCAAATACATTTCTTACGACGCAATATCAACAAAGAATGCCGGTGCGTTGAGATCATTGTACACATTAAAAAAAAACCCACAATGGGAATTAAATAAAATCGCAGTTCCCACCTTCAATCAAGCACCTCCACTGACAACGTGCGTTACACACACGGCGTGCCATGTGCAGTCCCTCCCGTTAATCCACTGCTGGATGGGGGCCTCCCCTAACCCCGCGCGGTTCCAAAGGGTTATTGGGCCATACCTCGCCACGCTGGTCAGTGCGGGTTGGTGAAGGGGGCAAGCATTCACGACGGAGCATCGTACAGACGAAAAACAATTAGGTTTTTTTTCTGGACTGCTGCAACAGCGTAGGCCCCCAGCAGCTGTCTATATGACACCGCGCTTCATGTGCGATGGTCGCCCATCCAAGCACTCTCCAGGGTTAACCCTGCTTAGCGCGTGGAGTATTCCCGGCGACTTGGTCAGAGAGCTCGCCGCGATGATTGTATTCGGTCGAAGTTCGGTCGTCTAAATCACGAATGTTCTTAAATGCTGAACTTAACATCGAGGGAGCTGGGGGGGGATAATTTATTGTAATGAATTCTGAAAAACGTGCGTGCTGAGCCATTACACGCTCTTCGCTTACGTACACAGTCATTTGTATAAGTTATTTATTTGAGAAGGAGCAGGAGATAAGAGGGCATTGATTTTTTTTACGGGCGTGGGAGGGAGTGTGAGGGATGGAGGGATGGAGGGACGGATGCCGGCCACATCACTCTGTTGCTCTCTGACACTGCGGTCATCCGGAACGGACCCGTACGCAATGGCCCGGTCCACAAATGCGAAGGGAGACGCCACAGCGGTCCACACTCCGCGCGCTTCTCCTGACGCCGTTGTCTGGGCTCGACGACCTGAAACGTGACATTGTAGTCGTGCGAAAGGAGAGCACGGGCGGAGCGCGCTCATGCCGCATCTCCCACGCACGCCCACGGTCCTGCTGTCCCGACGTACGAGTGGGAGTCATCCACCACCCCCCAGCCCTCACTCACGGCGGTGGGGGGTGGGGGTGGGAGTCTAAAGGGGTGGCAACTCCTCCACTAACTGAGCTCTCACACACACACACGTGGGCAGGAGAGAGAAGGCAGGGCAAATCTGTGGCAGTCAGAGTGTCACCGCGCGCCCAAAAGTTTTAAGACAAAGAGGGGTGGTGGTGGGAGCGCGAGCAATAAAAGCAGCAGCAGCAGCAGCGAAGCACTCGGCAAACGTCAACCACGTCCCATTCCGCCCACCTCCTCGCAGCTCGAGATGATGAAGGCCGACAAGCGCTCCGCCGTCGTGTGCATTGCTCTGGTAGCGCTGGCGTGCTACACGGCAGGTACGTGTCGACGGCGCCGAGTCGGTACACGCGGGGGCACAGGGGTGCACGCGCGCGCACAGGGGTACACGCGCACCGAGAGGCGACGTGCTGGAGATCTCCAAGTCATTGACCATTACAAGACAAAGATCCCCCGTGTAGCCTTAACAGACTGCTTGGGGCAAGAGCTGTTAGCGAGCACCCGTGAAAGCCGGCGCGGTGCAAGAGGGGGTGGGTGGCCGGGACCACGCCCAGCCGCCTTTGTCTCCTCGGTGGCGATATTTTTACACACCGTACCGGGGACTCATTTGAGGCTGAGTCGACCTAGGTGAGGCCCAGGACCGGTTCAGATAATCGTCACCGGTGTTGGCCGTGAGCGGGAACCGGACTCGCACGCACACACGCGCACGATACACGTTCGGTTTTGGGCAATGGGCGGCTCTTTTTTTTTCCTTCGGAGCAAAGGTCAGGATCATTGCCCGAAACGTCGGGTCGGACGGGCAGCGCTGCTGATGAAGTTAGTGACTGTGTTTCGGTGCAGTTCCACATCAAGGGAGTCGCCTCGGTATTGTCTCGCTGCTTCGAGCAAAGCAACTGGTCTTTTGTCGACGAAATTGAACGGGGATTTGCTTGTAATAATAACCGCATATGCAATTCGGAGGTATGGAGCGTCTGGAGCGCGAGTCTAGACGCTGGTGCAGAGCAAAGTCTTGAACCGGGAGATGTCCAGGGGCAGGGGAGTCGACGAAACGGATGGCTGGGAGGAGGGCGAGCCAGAGAATCGCATCACGTGCGCAAGGGATAGATGACTTTCGATGATTCCTACAACTTGTACGTTGATTACAATCTGACCGTTTGCGTTGCGTCAGGCAGGCCGCTATTTAACGGGCTTGAACGTCGCACTCCACGAGGGGGGAATTACTCGGTTCACCTGATGATGATGACGGGGGACGGGTGTGTCCCGTGTCGGCGTGAATTTTACAAACGCGAGGCTGACACTGCCCTAAGGGATAAAATAATTAGAATAAAAAATTAACGCGTTCCGCAGTTTTTGTGTGTAAGTGAATATTAAACGACGTGTCGTTGTTGTATTGTTGTGTTGTATTGTTGTGTTGTATTGTTGTGTTGTAGTGTTGTATTGTTGTGTTGTTTTGTTGTGTTGTATTGTTGTGTTGTATTGCATTGTTGTGTTGTATTGTGTTGTATTGTTGTGTTGTATTGTTGTGTTGTATCGTTGTGTTGTATCGTTGTATTGTATCGTTGTGTTGTATTGTTGTGTTGTATCGTTGTGTTGTGTCGTTGTGTTGTATTGTTGTGTTGTATTGTTGTGTTGTATCGTTGTGTTCTGTTGTTGTGTTGTATTGTTGTGTTGTATCGTTGTGTTCTGTTGTTGTGTTGTATTGTATTGTTGTGTTGTATCGTTGTGTTGTATTGTTGTGTTGTATTGTTGTGTTGTATTGTTGTATTGTATCGTTGTGTTGTATTGTTGTGTTGTATCGTTGTGTTGTGTCGTTGTGTTGTATTGTTGTGTTGTATTGTTGTGTTGTATCGTTGTGTTCTGTTGTTGTGTTGTATTGTATTGTTGTGTTGTATTGTTGTGTTGTATTGTATCGTTGTATTGTTGTGTTGTATTGTTGTTGTGTTGTATTGTTGTGTTGTAGTGTTGTGTTGTATCGTTGTGTTGTATCGTTGTGTTGTATCGTTGTGTTGTATTGTTGTGTTGTACTGTTGTGTTGTATTGTTGTGTTGTATTGTATTGTTGTTGTGTTGTATTGTTGTGTTGTATTGTTGTTGTGTTGTATTGTTGTGTTGTATTGTTGTGTTGTATTGTTGTGTTGTATTGTTGTGTTGTATCGTTGTGTTGTATTGTTGTGTTGTATTGTTGTGTTGCCGAGCGTGTTCTCTTGTCACATGCTCGCTTTCTCCGTGCCTTCAACGCCAGTGAGCCATCATGTCATCCACTGGCTGTCACAATGCCGCACAATGTTTTACATTTGGAGAACATCGACAATTATTGGTGAGGAGGATAGAGAGAGAGAGACATCAATGTTAGCCGTGGAGTTTGAAGCTTCGCTCTTACTAAATCCAATGTAGAGTCAAACCCACTGCTGGATGAATGTCTCGACCCCCCCCCCCACGCTTTGTGGTCATGGGGATTCTGTGACCATGCTCCACAACAGTGGTCAGTGCGGGTTGGTGAGTGTGGTGGAGTGGGGGAGGGCGGTGTTCAGGACCTGTTCAGGACCCACACCTCCGATTAGCGCGGTTGGCTACGCACGGTGCGAAAGGACTTCACAGATACGTACGTGCATTCATAGGCTCAGTCATCACCCGCCACTGGCGTGTGAACAGCGGCTGGAAATTGAACTCAGGTGGCTCGTGTAATGTGCAAACCACTGCACCAGACATTTCCTCGATGGACTCCTTACATCCATAGCTCAATAATCAGTTCAGTTCCATTTATTTGGTATAGCCCTGTGACCCATTCGGCTCTTGAATCGGGTGCAACGGCAACAAACAAAAAAACAAAAACATGAACAAGAAAACATCTTAAAGTGACTATGTGACTGTGCAAACAGAAAATCCAGGGGAAAACATTAAAATATTCCTGAAAAATCACTCGGCTGGAGAGCTTTGGTCAGACCTCATGCAGTGTCACGCGCAGCCTCCTCCTATAGGGTCTGTAGCCATAGCCCATCGGGTGGTGTAGTCCACAGGAAGTGTGTGTGTGTGCTGAACTTCTTTCGCATCCCACGTAGCTAACCGTGCCAATCGGAAGTGCAACCTAAAACACGCATGTGGTCGTACAGCCCTGCTCACGAACTCACGCGACATCAAACAAATCCCGGTTGCTGAGCACAGGTCCAATAGAGAAGTGTGGAAAACGTTTCTTGAATCGATCAAAGTTATCAGAACTCGGATAAAATAGACGTTGGGAGGGAATTCCACAGATAAGGAGGGAGGGAGGAAAGAAAAGTTCCGTGCACCATACGAGGAGGAGGCGGCCTTCATCCAGCAGTGAGTTGATGAAAGGCCCGAATGGTTAATAACGGAGGGTGTGGGTAATGTCTAGCGAGATGTATCTTGTCAAATGTGTGTCATGTAAGGATGTTCAGCAAAGCCTGTAGAAGGATAAGATGCAGACGGACTTGTGCGCAGCTGTTGTGCGCTGGGAAGGCAGTGATAGATGTGAATGCCTGAGTGCGTGTGTGTGAGTGCGTGTGTGTGTGTGAGTGAGTGTGTGCGCACGCCCCTTGCCAGGCGTCAGTTTCAAGGGTGGAAAACAATGAGGCTCTTATATTTGCTGGGGCGCTGCGTAATTCCTTGGGACGCACTTCATGCCCAAGCAATGAGCCGACTTGAAATTTTCGCGTGGAAATCGTTGAAAGATTTGCCACTCCGCTTAGACCTTTACGGGTTTTAATGCGTTGTTGGATAAACACATCTTCATAGTCATTTGCTAAATACTATACAGAGCAGTATACAGAGCAGTGCTGGTTCTGCAGATATACACATATGTCTTTAAACAAAACATACTGAATATGCCCGATCTCATCATATATCAGAAGCCAAGCAAGGTTCAGCCTGTTTTTGGACAGGAGACTGCCTGGGCATACAAAATATGTTGTAGGGTTGGGGACGTTAGGTGACCAGGCACTCTGCGGGTGCCACAGTTGCGAGATGTTAACGACTTCGCCTGGTATACAGGAGGTCATTGGTTCGATCACGACCGTGACACCTGTATATTTGGAGTTTGCATGTTCTTCCCCAGGCATTTAAAGTATCTGGCTGTTATACATTTCCACATGATAATCTACTTCGCTTGGCTATCATTTGTGGCCAGGTCGCATCTGAAAAAGAGCTACATAGCTCAGCGGGCCTTTCCCTGTGTAGTGTATCAATCTAGAAACACTAAAAGTTGGAGCACATAAATTTATTCCGGTCCATATAGCCACAGGGGATAACTACCCACGGTCCGTACGCTACCCGACCAACGACGTCGAGGAAGCTTAGACGAGGACGATGGCAGCATGACGAGTTCCTTTCCCAGACGACAGCCCCGACTGAGTGTTGGAGCCTCCCTTTTATCCTCTCCGGCTTGGTCAGGCTCTGCCTTCGGCCACGCCCCCTTCTGGCTCTCATCAGAAGGTTCCAGACTCTGCCCACGTGTCTCACTGGCAGACCAGGCTGCTGTACCCATAATCCTCCTCTCTCCGAGCATCCCATGCTACGTACTCTAGTGATTCATTCTATGTCACTACACCTGTTAAAATAAAATAGTTTAACAATTTAAATATTCTTGGGGTTTCTCCGGGGACTCTGGTTTTCTCCAACACATAAATGGAATTGGCCAAACATCCCAATGTGCCAGGACTCTCCTGAAAATAAGCATTGAGTCTCCGTGTCACTTTCCTGTGTAATTCACTGGCGTTATGGCACTGTTATACGCATTCGCCTATGCAATGCATTGTTTATTAATATCTGGTGTTATGGAAAACCACCTGTAATGTTTTGCTCGCATTGTTTACATTCTCCTTTTCCGTATTCGACTATAGGGGTCACATGTTCGAGTCGTGAACGTTGCAGTCATGGATGGTTTACCACTATCTGGCATCACGTTCCACGTGCAGTCGGAGCCAGTCAGTTTTTACGAGCCGAGTTATTGTAACCGAAAGTTTCACAGCCTGTCTCACGTCAGCTCAGGCTACGTTTAAGGTCACACTCCCCCCCCCCCCCGCCCCCATTGCGATAATTGATCGCAAATGTAATGTACGAGCGGTAACAGGCTATAGGAGATGTGGGTTCCCTCCAAATCTGGGCAGGGTGACTGCCTCGGCTGGTATCCAGGAGGTCGTGGGTTCGATCCCAACCCTGATGCCTGCTGTATATTTGGAGTTTGAATGTTCTCTCCGTGGTTGCGTGGATTTTCATCTTGGTCCTCTGGTTTTCCCCTTCACATTTAGAAACACGCGTTTAGAGTATGTGACTGCTGTACATTTCCACATGATTATCCACTTCGT